TTAGTCTGAAAATTTAATATTCTTTTAGAATGATTGATAATGTTATTTTATTTGTCTTTTACACATACAAAGTAAAACTTCTATCGCAATGAAAGAAAAGAAAATCTGATGAAGATAGAATACAAAAGCTTTTGTCAATATGACATTAGTCAGAAAAGTAAATAATATGACAATTATGAATATAAAAAATTCAATCAGATGGTTGTATAAAACAGAGACAAGTAGAAGACAACATGTATGACAAATAGGATCCTTCTGGCAATTTTTTATCAAACAAAGTACAAAAAAAATTGTCAATCATGTTTCCATCGGAGTTACAAACAGGCCACTTTTTTCTGACCTGATCTTGCCTGGCTTGGACTGACTGCAGACTAGACTAAATATCACAAAGTATCCTGCAGGTCAAACCAGATCGATTAATGTTTTTGACTTTTTGAATATATTTGATTGTACTATTCTGCATTAATATATCATTCTAGTTTCAGTTGTTCACTTAAATTATTTCCATAACGATAAGATAATAACAAGTTCTTCCATGAAACTATAAAATAAAATAGTAGAGAACCATCATAAAAATTTTTCATACAAGAAAGGCTTGAATTGATACAATGCCATTGATCAAATGTTCTATTTCCCATAATCGAAAAAATGTAACCAACGTAATATTTAGGCATAGAATAGAGAAGTAAGAGAAAATGTAAAACGAAATTATAGGGAATAAGTAATATTTGTAATAATAGACAAGGACATTTACGTCTGACAATCAATTTTCGTCATAGCACGAACGCGAAACAAACTATTTAATTGTTGTGTATTTAAACAAGTTCTTTTTTCAGTCAATATAAGTCCTATAACACTAAATTGATGTTTGGTTTAAGCATTTGTTATTGAAATCGAATGAATTTATCAAAGTATTCTCGAATAATACGGTGATTCATTAACATTTAATTTTTCAGAATTCAACAGTCAAGCTAAAACCTTTAACCCGGTAGGCGTTTGCCAAACAGCCGACAAATCTGGCAACTCTGTTTTACATCTATCTATTTATTTTTTGTTTTTAAATAATAATTAACTCAAAAATAATACAAAAAAATAATCTCATCTGGGTAGTTGAGATTCAAGTGAGATTGTTTATTTTTTGTAGAACTAATCTCATTTCAGAGAATTAATTTTAATTAATTATACAAGTGCCTAATATTCCAAACATTAATTAACTTATGCAAGATAAAAATGATAAATTTTTTCTCGTCTTTTTTTGTGTCAAATTATTAATATATCAGTTATTAGCTTAAATCAATCGGATTACAAATCCCAACATGAAAAAAACTTGTGCATTGAGTTGATGTTCATTACTATTGTTTTTCTCGACTTTTCTATACTTTTTATTTTCAATACCAAGGATGTCTAAATCAGTTTCAACTAAACAAATCAGTCTTAAAACATTGGGAACGAATTGTTGCGCTCTATTTTATTATTTTGACACTTTTGTAGGACATAGTCAATCTATTATTTCAAAGAGAAATAGATCTGTTAAGTTGTACCAGAAGAGTTCTATAACGCAAAACATAAATCGACCTTGTTAACAAAAAAAAATTTGATGAATTCTTTTATCTGGTAAGAAATATAAGATTTTAAAAGCTTTTTTTTTCATAGAAAAATGTTTTTACTATTTTATTATTTACTATAGAGTTTAGTCAGAAAAGAAAATATCTGATTGTTATTCATCGAATATTAAAATCACATTATTAATTATAATATCTCAAATGATATACCAAACGATGGCAAAGTATTGTTTTTCATAATTCCATTTGGTCAGATAATTCATATATCTCGATAATCTACGACTATTTTTCAAACGTGTTATATAGAATAAAAAGGAATGATCAATATATTAAATTTCTATATTATGTTGACAAAAGAATTATATATCACAATAAGATTTTAAGGTTATTCTCTCCAAGAAATCTGATACTGGTGTAACAATATAAATCGTTAGATCTATTACGTAACAGAACGATATAAACGTTTGCCTACATATATTGCTTACCTTTGTCTGAATCAGCGATTCACAATAATGGACGTATGTTTTTATAAGCAGAGATATATCGATTCTTTGAATTTCTAATTGGAGTTTAGAATATTTCCGGTACTAAGAATTGTCGGACTCCTGGTGATTCTTCATGCCAGTTGTGATCAGTTTTGAACGCTCGTTCCAAAGCTATTCTTAGTCTTTGTCTAATGCAGAGAACACAGGTCTCAAAATGAGTTGAAATTGATCGGAAAAAAACTAAAAAATACGAATTTTCTACCAATTCCACACTTATTCCGAAACTTTTGTTTTATAGCCCATGAATTTCGACTACAGCTTTGGAGAGAATATAAAAAACTAATCATGATTGATATAAGCAATCGATAAGAATTACATTCTTAATAAGGAACATATGTCATCTTTGACATCATGTTCTAGGAATAGATACATCTCTCATCGCCATTGAAAAAGAAACATAACATATATGATGATTTGCTTCATATACGGAAGTTTTTTGGTCATATATTTTTCATTCTGTGTGTCATTTAGGCATCTTCAAGATTGTCCGAATTTCGATGTCATCGGAACTTACATTTTTTTCAAACTGATTTCGTAAATTATTTTTTATCAACAATTTGATTGTGCATCACCATATTTATAATTTCATACTTATAAATGATTTGTTGGGAATTGAAAAAGTCAATAAAAAAAGCTGTTAGTACAATCCCTACTGAATTAAAATGTGAAACAAAATGTAGCTGTTGTTGATAATCACATGGAGATGGTTTGATGCTATCTATTTTGAGACATAGTTCTTCACAATCCTTTTGCTTAGTCTTCTAGAAACGCAATAAGGAAATATTTTATATATTAGAATAATGCGTTATTAATATCTAGTCTGGAATCGTATTTCAATAATATCAGCCATGGTCTATGACCTTTCTATGATTATGTCTGTCACGTCTCTAATATTCCGTTGCTAAGATATCCGTAATGATCTGTGGGAAGTGGAAATTCCTACCGTATATACTTCAACACTCTTTTTAGATCGTGTTTCATTAAAGTTAGACTTAATTGAACAGAATATTGTTTTAGGATTAGTTCTAAAACATAGTAGTTCTAGTCTTGCAGATCCTGAATTATCATGAGTTCAAATTAACACTTGAAGTAACATCGATTTAAGATCATTCATATAGACTTTTTACATCTTCAAGAAGTATGAGTTCTAAAAAAATTTCGTGAGGCACATGACAAGAACCAAAAGAAATTCTTCTTGTAATAAAAAAAAACTAACTTGATTTTGTATGTTCTTAGTTCTGATAAATACATGTACAGGAATACTCGTACTATTAACGAGTCACAATTATTCCGACGACATTTGAACCAAGATCAATACAAAGTTTTAAGCCGATCAGAGATTGAAAAAGTCGATTTCATAGTTCCATAATTTTATGTTCAACTATATCCGTAGAAACATAAATACCTATTTCGTATATGTGGTTCTTCTTATTGTCAAATTAGTTGTAGTATAACACTTTACATTAGAATATATCTGATAAAAATAATGAATTACTAATAGTATGGGTTATATACTATTTTTACTTATTGTATAAATATTATCTTATAATTACATTAAATGTATTGACATTTTATTTTCTCTTTTACATATTAACGATCGTCTCAAATATTGTAATCTTCATATACAAGCGAATCATGTTACTTCTATTGGTGTAAATCACATATGATAACTTTTAATAAAAAAATTTCCGTAATAATTAATAGACAATGAACTTGGTCCTATTAATATATAATCCATAACTATTATTTTGACGAGCTTTTAAATTGACAAAAACATTAGTAGATCTAATAAATTCGTACCTGTGAAATCTACTACTAAACTTATGTTTGTGTTCAGTATTCATTCATGTTAGAATCATTATTAACAAAAAACAAGACAAATTTCGAGTATGGTAGCATCAAAATGAACAGAGGTAGTGAAATATGCCATATATATGTACGTGATCGATATCTTAACAAATATAAGGTAAACAACATATGAGAAATTTTTGGTGTAGATTTAAATATTTATTTTGCACTTAATCTATACTACAAAAATAATATGATCAAGATACTCAGATAACCACTAATAACTTACATCAATATTGACTTTTTTTAACAATTGATTAAAAAAAAATTTTAACTTAAATTCAATTAATGAAGAGTAATATAAAAGATAAATTTATTTTAGAATGAAACATTTAATCAACAGCTAATTCATTGAGTGTTAGGAAGAATATGCTTTGATATTCGAATAATCATCAATAATCAATACTAATTTTTTATCTCTAGATTTTTTACTATGACCGTTTTCTTATTACGAAACTGACTAGAAATCAAACATTTGTTATCTACAACTATCAACACGCATCTCGTCAAAATATTCCATCAAGGTGTTGATAGTTTTCGATCATAGATAGAGTTACGAAGTTTTCATCACATTTCTTAGTATTATATTAAGTATTTCAGTTAGGTGAATCATATAGAAATGTGGGTAGATTTGCCTTTCAACACTTGTTTTGTCATACTGAATTTAATATCAACAAAAAGTAACAGAACTGAATATTCGCGGAGATTCATGCAAATTTTTTTTTATTTATATCCATCAGTATCGGAGAAAAAAAATACTCACACGACCTCCATAGTATCAACAAGTAACATCGTGCTTCTTTTCATAGCCTATAAATAAAAGGATCTCTCATAACTTTTTTTGTCCAATTTGGTCGTAACATTCTCATTGGAGAGAGAATAACAGAAAAGAAAAATACTTCAGAATAGTACGAAAGAGAAAAGAAAAAAGTGATATCAATAATCTGCTAGAAAAGGACACAGATATAAAAGGAGACGAAAAGAATCGATACAACATTCAAACTCTTTTTCTTTCTTTTCATTTGTATTTCATAATTGCAACACAATGCGTGTCGCATTTGCAGGTAACTTAATCGATAAATTTATTACTATGAAAATTATGTCTGTATACTTATTTGTATATATTTAGTTTTTCTTCTTTGTATTGTTTACGTTGCTAGTTATCCATCATTTCGTGAAGCAGCAACTAATAATGATGAAAGTGACGATGATCTTGAATTAGAACTTCGCTCAATTTTAAAACATCTTAGTGATGAAAATAATAATGAAGAACAAATTGTGCGATCTGTTGAAACAGGTTAAGACAAAAAGTTTCATTCATATTATTATAATATTTCAATGGATTATTTTTTAGATGAAAGTAATGAAGAACGTGAACTTGATGATGATTTATTTAGCAAACGACAAGGTGGTCATAGTATAGTTGATAAAACAAGTAAATGTGAAATCCAATGTATTCATTCACAACGACATCCAAAGATTGGTAGAGGCAAATCAGTTAAAGATGCAGCTAAAGCTTGTAGACGATTATGTCCCAATCCAAACAAAAAAGGTCCTGGAAATAAAAAAGTTGTACAAAGAACAGGCAAAGGTAAATATATAGGTTTACGTCAATTTGATGATGATGATAGCAGTGAAGAACAACAAAATCAACGTCGTGAATTCTATGACTATCTTATGGAACAATTTCAACAAAATAATAATGAATAAATATAAGTTGAAATAAAGAACTAGTTTTAATTATTAATGAAATATATGTAGAAATATCGATCGAAATTTTTTTTATTACTTCAAAACATTTTTTATTGCATGGCTTATTTCATTATATCTAATGACATTTGTACCAGTGAATATTAGTCAATGTTTTGTGTACAAGTGATCTGTTCTTTTTTTTCTCTAACAATGAAATATACTCAATTTTGACATAGAATCATTAATAAATATCAAATAGCTATCAGTTTTATATGAAGTACGAAAATAAATATTAAAATACGAAATTTTATTATTATTAACACTTTATCAATTGATATACAGGAGAATAATAGTAGATAATGACTATAATGAACAAATTGATATGATAATAAAATACAATTCTGAAATATATTCTATAAAACTCTTATAAAATATGAAATATTTTTCATTCATTATTAAGTTAAATTACTAATTATGTTATTCATATGAACGTATTTGATATATGAATAATTTTTTTTTGCTCGTAAAATTATATAAAAAAATCTATTTGAAAGAAAAATTTTTTGAAAAGCAACAATCAATGTTATTTATAGATCAGACTGATAATTATATTTAATGTTGATAAAGTAACTTATTACTTACACTGTATTTTTCATGAGAACAAATGGCATTGTAACGAAATCTTTTCATCGTATGTAATCAGTATTCGATAAAATACACAAACAACTATAAATCTTTTTTATATTTCTCGGTTGGTATAATAGGTAAAAAGAAAGAGATATACTGTCCTTATGATCAATGAATAATCTTCCTTCTCTATATCGATATTTCGGAATTTAGAGTTCTTTTTTTCTGGCGTACAATTGGCGCGAAAGTGGACATGTTTGTATACACTCCTGCAATAATTGAAAATTAGTCATTATTACTTAATCAAATTGTCATGGTTTTTAAATTTTCAATCATCTCGATGAAAGATTTTCTTATACGTTCTTCCCCCCTTTCCAAATCTTGAGATCCTTGCATGGCTTCTAGATATCCATTAATCATAGGCTAAACAAATTTTTTTCAAAACGTATCACAATTCCTTTGAATCAATGCATATAGAAAAATGTATTTGTCTTCTTTATTTCTATTCAATGTTTTTATACTAGTTATTTACTCTTACATATTAATATGAATTTCAAGAGAGTGGACCTATACATGTATAATTGATATGTAAAATAAGTTTCATATACCAAAAGAAGGTCCGTCAAATGGACTGAATTGGTATGAATCAATATGGTTTTCGACGAAATTTTTCTATCACATTAGTGACGTAAACAGAAATCGTGGGTAGTAGGACAATGCCCTATGATTTTGGGAGATCCATGCACTACAGTATCAACCGTGATAATTGTTACGTTTCTTCTTTTTTTTTGTGGTAGAGCAGCGTCCTATTTAATACATCCTTGTTTATGCCACTATGTCGCATCTCGAAAAATGTTAGAAATTCACGTAATTTAGATTTTATGACAAAGCAAAAGAGGGTTGTATGAAGGAGAGAATGTTGTTCTTGGTGTTCACAACATGATAATAATTTCTATTCTGTTTAATGATTCATTCAAGAACATATAACAAATAAACATGTTACTTATATGTACTCTATTTTAATCACTTTCAATATTCATATGAAAAAAAAACGAAGAAAGATAGATCATTTGAAAATAACACAAAAACATGAAATATTACCAAAATACAGATTTTCTCATCGATCATAGTAGGTTCTAATATACAAAGAATATGATTATGGGATAGAAAAAAAACATTAGTAAATTTTTATTTGTAATTTTGAATGAATTTCAACTCATTGACTATCTTTTTTTTTTTTTATTAAATTAGTATTATTTCAGAGCTCATCTTCTACAAGAATTCTGTATTATATTTCACGATCACTGGAATTTTTGGAAATTTTTAAAACTCTATGGAAAAACTTTATCGAAATTCTTATTTATTCCTACTATTCAATCCGATTTATGACGAGTTTTCTTCTACTATAAAGTTTATGTTATTTTGCAATTGTTGAGAGTCTCATATCTTGTGTAAAAACATGTTTACGTACTTCTAGTCATTGTAATATCCATAATATTGAGAGGTTTCAGTGGAAGACTTGTAATTGTCATTGGATCGAGATAATATTATTTCAAATGAGACCAATTGACATATTCAATTTACAAAAAGAAAATTGGAATATCATTGACTCATATAGATATGAAAGTTCGCCAGTTGTATCTCAAGAAGTTATTGAATTGCAATCAATAGTGTATTAAATATAGAATATATAATCAACCATAGCATTATGCTTCTTTGATATATGTTAACAATAAAGTATACTAAAGCCGAATGAAATTATAATGCTAAGTATATTTATCAAGCATTGAATTCATAATACAAATATTTGTACATCAATTGATAGAATTTCTTATTATCATATGAAAATAATATTAACTTGTACATACTCAAATCGAACCTATTTTTGCATATGCATGACATGCACTGACCTTAAGATGTGTCTATATTACATGACTTTCTTTCCATGGACAAGTACTTGAATGTTAGCATGAGTTATACGTATATTTAAAGTACGTAATACACTGAACTCATGAAAATGATGTGAATAAACATACTTGCAACAATCAATCGGAATAAAATAATAAAAACTATCATACTCCAAATGAAATAACGCTGCTTGTCATTAGGAATATCTGAATTTACTTACTCATGTAAATTCTCTTTTTGACTTACCTATTACTGACATTGTTATTTAAGCTATGAAGTTTTATTATGAGTCGAATCATTTTGAATATAAAACTGAAGAACAAAAAAAAAACCGCAAAGGAAATATAACATATAATTAAAATTAATTTCATGCATCGCAAATATTGTTTTCATAGTTGTGACAGATGACCGAATCCAATTTGGTACTACTATCGCTAGCTTACGATGAAGGGTGAACTTGTGTTGTTAATCTATGCAATTCATAATATTTTCCATAATGTATTTCATTTGTGATCATCCTTATACATGCATGAATAAGAATATTCAGCTATAGAACAAGAAGTTCAAACGCCTGAGCTTGCTAGAAGGCTTCAAGATGTATCCATATCACATGACGTTTTTGCTCAAGATACTTAAGTACTTCATGAGCATAAAGAAAAAAGTTCGACTAGGATATCCATATTTCATATCTCTAACAAGAATTGTTTATCATATATGAAAATGTGATTGATATCAAATCAAACATAGTAAAAAGTACATATCTTGTAATGACGGTGACTATGTTTGATTTGAGTAGAGAAGAAAAAAAAATCAAATGAATTAATTTAATAATTTATTATAGCACGTTGAAATACTTATTTTGTCAAACAACAATTAGATTTATTTGAATAAATAAAAATTTTCATTTAAACAATATTTTTGAAATGATCTAAATGCATTCAGTATATGTACGTATCACTGAATAAGGATATGAAACAGTACAATTGACTTCGAATTGATAATAGATATTTATGTATAGTATGTATTTAAAATTTGGCTTTCGATCAATCAACAAACAACTAGTGAACAACGTTGGTATATATCAAAAGAATATTCAATAGACTGAATGATTTTAATGTATATATCAACAAAAGCAATGACACAGTTCTTTTCGTTTTTTTTTAAGTGGTTCATTTCTATTGTCGTTCGATGCATGAATTATAATACCACATGGGAATCTTTTAATTACGTGAAAAGTATGAGTATCGTCTATCGATATTATTTTTGAACTTTGTTAGAATTTGATTTTTTGGCATAGAGAAATGCTCTGAAGTTTCCTCTTTCAGTATATATATGTGGCTTTCCGCAAGACGATCAAATTTTAAGAGATCTATTAAGAAGTGATACTGGCCATATTATTGTAGTTTTCAAGAAATTTCCAAATTTTTTAAAAATTTTTCTCAAAATATAGTTGTCAGTCAGAAGAATTAAAACTGCCCCATGAGGTTCAAGATATAACCTATATGTATATTATTTTTTAGTTTCAAAATCCTAAATGAAACTATATTAGTGTTTGGCCAGATTTTTTTTGTAAATGGTTTCTATCTTGAGAAAAGCTCTATTTAATTTCGTTGAATCACGTCTCTATACTTATTTCAACACCATATCTATCAACATATTCATAAAAATTGAACAAAAGTGAATTTTAAAATTCTGTTTGAATAAAAATTGCGCACAGATGTTGACTTTCATTCGAAACTATCTCGAATACGACATCTCTTCTTTTAATGAAGACTTAAAAATTCTTCTGGAGACCATAAAATTGTCATGATGAAGCAGAAGGTTAAGTCTAGTTTGACATATCGCACTGAAATTGTTACAAAGAATGTTTCTCACTAGGACTATTCATTTGTAAAAATTTCAATTCAAATGAACCATGATGAGTTGGAAATGCATTGTGCAAGAAGATACCGTTAAATTTTCTAACATTTACATTAATATTATTAGTTGCAGATTCTCAATTCAACATCTCAATTATTACACTATGAATTCTATTTATAAGATTATAACAGAATCTCTTCTCTGTATTCTATTTCAATGTATCGCAAAAAAAGCAAAGCTTTTATACCATTGATCACAAGTAAGATTGTTTATCAAACAATAACTATAGATCCTGGAATAACGATAATACATATATAACGATATGAATAAAGAGATAGATAAAAATAAGAATAATATGAAATAACGATAAAAGAAAATAGAAAAACAAATAACCACGTACTAATGTATCCAAAACAAAAGAAAAAAAAAGGAAATGTGTTTATTGCTTATAGTTGTTTTCATCGTTGGCATAACCTTAATTATCTAATTCAGCACTAATTAAATTTTGCATGAATCATTTGTTGATCTTCTGTTAAACACTCTTGATTTTCCATAGATGATATAATATCAGCAGGTAATCGAGAATAAAGAAGTTCAATATCAGTTGGTTTCAATTGATCATGTAATTTTCCAATATCATCATTCAGAACAGATTCAATCAATGATGGTTTTGATTGATGACAATTATTAGCAGTTGAGTGAAAATTAAATTCTTCTTCTTTTGTATCAAGTCGTGACTTTTCATTACCATGATGAGTTATTACTACATCTTGTTTTTTAACACGAATAGTTTGACGTGTAGTAACAAATGCACCAGGTTTTAATGTTTGTCTATTAAAAAAAGAAATAAATTAATGTTCTGCATTTTTTAATCAATTTTGTTTTTTTTTCTCTTATTTACCGACTAACGAATTGTTGTTGTTTTTGTTGTGTTAATTGAGATTGTTCATTATTTTCTTTCTTATCATTTGATTGAATACGTTCTATTATATATTCGATAATATTACCCGTAAGAATTAAAATTCGTTGAAGTAATCCAGATAAAAATTGTTTTTGTTGTATTTTATGAAGTACACCATCATTTGTTTGTTTGATTTTTAATAAAAAAGATAAAATCAATATTCGATACCATATTAATAAGTATTGAATTA